CAATGGTTGAACAGTCATTCCTCCAGAGGTGAGAAGAAGATTACAGTGAATCTCCTGCAGCTGCACAGAAAAAGAAAAGCAAACCCAAAATATTTTTAAGAGCCAGTATGACCCAAATTGAAGGAAAGTTTGGGGGATCTTTTGGGCAAGCAGAACCTTGCAAGGTCACCTCCATGTAGACAGGCATAGAAATAATCAGGTACAAGGCCAAGATTACCTAGGCAGGGGAAACATCAGCTTTGGAAACAGATGTGGCAAAATTGGAAACAAAGAAGAAAAAGTGTTTAGAGGCAACTTGTTTCTTTCAGAAAAAAAACTGAGCAGGGAAAGAATGAAACTGTGGTGAGAAAAAGGAGGATCCAGAAAGAAAAAGAACAGTTCCTGAGTGGTGTGGGAGGCAGAAGGAGGAGCAGCAGAGCTGTTCTCACTTGGTGCTGGCTGCACATACACTAATACCACCAAGTGCTAATTGTCTGTGGCTAATCAGAGCATGAAGGGCAGAATTGTAAATAATAGCGGTCTATTATTACAAGTTAATTAGCTCACAAATTAGCTCTTTGATTTATTAGACCATGAGTAGAGTGCTGATTAGTCAATAAACTGCCAGGTCTCTTGTAACAGTCACATTTCAAGTCTGCAACCTGAGGAGAGAGGAACTGGACTGGTGACAAAGTCCTGCAGGTCCTTGCCAGGGCAGGTGGATGTTCTCTGCTCATTCCCTTCAGTCTGTGGAGCAGCTTTGGGCAGTTTGGGACTGATAACCCATTTCCCACCTAAGAAACTTCATTGTCTGAGTGCAAGGGGAAGCTGCAAACACACAGACTCTCAGTAAATTTTTGCAAGTGTTCTTCATAATTAACCTGCAGTTTTGGCATGGTCCCCCTCTGACATCCCTCTCTCTGAGTTGGGAACAGCTGGATTTGATGACTGGACAGGGAATTGGTTGGATGGTCACATCCAGAAGGTAGTGGTCAATGGCTCGATGTCTTCAGAGAGACTGATGTCAACTGATGTCCCTCAGGGGTCCATACTGGGACCAGTGCTGTTTAATGTCATAGAATGCTTTGGGTTGGAAGGGAACTTAAAGGTCATCTAGTTCCAATGACTTCTATATCTTCATCAGTGACACAGCAGGACTGATGTACCCTCAGCAGGTTTGCAGGTGAGACCAAGCTCAGTGCTGTGCTCGACATGCCAGAGGGACAGGATGTCATCAGAGGCACCTAGACAAGCTTGAGAAGGGGGCCCGTGTGAACCTCCTGAGGTTCAACAAGGCCAAGTGCAAGGTCCTGCATGTGGGCTGGGGCAACTCTCATTATCACTACAGGCTGGGGAGAAAGCCCTGGGGGTGCTGGGGGGGAGGAGCTGGGCAGGAGCCCCTGGCAGCCTGGGCTGCCCCCCCAGCAGCGTGGGCAGCAGGGCAGGGAGGGGATCCTGCCCCTCTGCCAGCTCTGTGAGACCCCCCTGCAGTGCTGGGGCAGCTCTGGAGTCCTCAGCACAGCAGAGCCAGGGACCTGCTGGAGCGGGGCCAGAGGAGCCCCAGCAATGCCCCGAGGGGGGAACCCCTCTGCTGGGAGCCCAGCAGGAGAGAGTTGGGCTGGGGCAGCCCCAGAGGAGAAGGCTCCAGCTGGGGAGACCTGCTGGGGGCTGCCAGGGCTTACAGGTGGCCTCCAGGAAAGCTGGGGACTTTTTATTAGGGCCTTTTGTGACAAGACAAGAGCTAATGGTTTTAAACTAAGAAAGGAGATTTAGACTAGATCTAAGGCAGAAATTTTTTAGTGAGGATGATTTTTACAGTGAGACACTGGCCCAGGTTGCCCAGAGAGGTGGTAGAAGCTCCATCCCTGGAAACATTCCAAGTCAGGTTGGATGGGTCTCCGAGCAACCTGCACTATTTGAAGATGTTCTTGCTGACTGCAGGGAAGTTGAACTAGATGAGCCTTGAAGGTCCCTTCAAACAAACAGTTTTCTATGAACATGGGATTCAAGGATTTGTGAAGAACTTCCCTGTGTGGGCATGCCGCTCCTTTGATCTGACCTGGGCTGTGCATGGGTTGCTCCTTTATCTTGAAAGGGGAAGAAGGGAAGGCTGGAGATTGCAGGACTTCCTTTGCTGAGAGGAATTAAAGGACATGTTGTGTGGGGATGGAGTAAGGGAACAGTCAGAAGGGTTTGGTCCAGGAGGGTCCCTGATGGACCCAGCTGGCTTGGCCCAAAACCTCAGACACTACGGGAAAGATTTGGGCCTAGGGCCACAGACCTTGTTCACATGCCATGAGGTCAGGAACACAGTAGGAACTGCTTTAGGAAGACAACAGTAACCTTAAACTGTTCCTTTTAGTCTAAAGCCATCATCTTTTGTCCTAATTGTAAGGATTGGCTCAGAAAAAGTGGAAGTTTTAACCATGGTGCCAACTCCCAGCTTTACCAGGATCAGTGACAATCTGCAGTCTTTTTGGGCTTGCACTTTGAAAGTGGTGTTTCCCACATGAAAGTAGAACAGGAAAGACAAAACATGATTTAAAGGGGGTTCTAAATAAAAACAAAAGAATTACAGGTTCCAGATTAGGATAACTGGGAATTGCATAGACCAGACACTGCCACATTGACACATCTGGTGGCTCGTTTGTCTTCTCACATTTTAGTGCTCCCTGAATTCACTCACTCATGAACAGCAGCACTGGAACCATCATTCTTTCAAAGGAGTTACTAAGTGCTTCTAACTATGTACTGGATCTGCTCCAGGACAGCCTCTCATTTCCCTGAACCCCACCTCAGGCTGCCATGCTGCTTCCCCTACACGTGTCCATCTCGATGTCCAGCACAGAACGCCCCAGAACTCGTGTCCAGCTCAAGCCAAGGCCATTTCCATTCCCTTCAGACCTCTTCTGCAAGCCCTGTGGTTACACCCCACCACTGCCCTCTCCTCCTTAGACCCAGATATTTAGACACCAAAAGCATTTGCTCCACGGAGAACCAAAAACATTTCTTTCATGTTGGTGGTTTATTGTAAGAATTTACAGGTTTCTGGGGCTTTACCATTTCTTCACAAAATAACAGAGCAGCCTTGTTAGCACAGACACAGGCAGGTGAAACCACGCGCTCGGGAGAGCTCCTCTTCATCTGGAAGGAAAAGGGAAGCAAATGCTTTTCATTATTTCATTTTTTACTCAAAACTTGTCTCCTCCAATCTGAATACTTCAACTCACAAATATTCCTCACCCTCCCTGCACCCCCCAACTCTCTACCAAGTCTATTTTTCCTTGAAGTTTTAAATATGCCTCTTTTGCTACAGAAACTTTTCTAACTTGTAAACCTTCATAGGTTGTAAACCTCCATAGGTTTACAACATCTTCCTCACAGACATTTTTAGGTTGCTACATAACCAATATGTCTCTTTTGCTACAGAAACCTTTTTAGATTGTAAACCTTTTTAGGTTGTAAACCTCCATAGGTTTATAACATCTTGCACACAGACATTTTTAGGTTGCTACATAACCTCAGAGCACTAGGAAAACATGAAAAACAGTAACTACAAATAAATCAACCCAGGAAGAAAAAAACACAGAAAATTATGTCAAATGTGGATGATTGTTATCACAGACCTTTTTTTGTTTAAAATTAGATGCTTATCAAATTTTGTTCAGAGAGATTCAAACTATCAGCGGGCAGTTTCCCAGCTCCTTGGGAAGGGAACTTTGACCCACAACGCTGAATTCCAACCTCCTCATTTGATGCCCAGATTTTCTGTGTTAAATTCCTTTTAAAACACAATCTAGTTTCTATTTCACAACTTTACCTCTTGGATTTGGCTGCACCGCGTTTTCCGACTAATCCCTGGTTACGGTGTTACGAGAGAAAAACAGAACAAGCAGGTTAGGAAGCAACTCATGCAAATTCAGGCAAAATTCTGCAGGTATTTATGAGCCCAGGTGTATTGTGAGGAGCACAATACAGCCCAGAACTGCCACCAGGTGCCTGTTCCAGGCGGCTTCTGAAAAGCACAGGCATCTGCGTCCAAGCACAGCACAAGTTTTCTGCTGTTGGATGGAGTCTGCATGAGCTACGTGGAGTGACAAATTCTGCTCTAAGACCACACGTCTGTAACCTGCAGGACACACCTTCAGGAAACTTTTATCTGGGAAATAAGTAAAATACTGAACTTGAAGTGAAATACTCATACAGTGTCAACAGACTGACATTCCCTCCTCCTTCCAGCCCCACCACCAAACTCTCAGCTCCTGACCACCACCACAGGATCATTTATCCAAAAGCATCTCACACAATCACACCATGGTGGGGTTGGAAGGGACTCTGGAGATCACCTTGTCCAACCCCCCTGCTCCAGCAGGTCCCCCACAGCAGGGTTTGGAATCTCTCCAGAGGAGACTCCACAACCTCCCTGGGCAGCTGCTCCAGGCTCAGGCACCCTCACAGCAAAGCAGTTTTCCCTCTTGTTCAGATGTTTGTGTCCATTGCCCCTTGTTCTGTTGCTGGGCACCACTGAAGAGACAGGTCCCATCCTCTTGACACCCACCCTTTAGCTCTTGATCAGCATTGATCAGATGCCCTCTGAGGCTTCTCCTCTCCAGGCTGAACAGCCCCAGGGCTCTCAGCCTTGCCTCACAGAGATGCTCCAGGCCCCCCAGCATCTTCACAGCCTCTGCTGGACTCTCTCCAGTAGTTCCCCGTCTCTCTTGAACTGGGGAGCCCAGAACTGGACACAACAATCCAGAATGTGCCTTCACTAGGGCAGACTGGAGAGCAAGGAGAACCTCTATTTTACCAGCTTTTTAACTTCATCTAGCCAAAAAAGGCTGCCAAACTTCACACTTGTTAGTAGAACTGCACAAGCTGGACAACCTGAGAGCCATGCCATGGATCCTCTTCCCTTTGGTTTTGGGACAACGTGCCCTGACCTTTCCCACTAACCAGACTGAAGCAGGACAAAAGCATCACACAACTTTGCAACAACTCCTGCTTCACATTCAGGCAGGTACTCACAGAGCAGCAGCACCAGAGATGATCTCAATGAGCTCCTTGGTGATGACGGCTTGACGGGTACGGTTGAACGTCAAGGTCAGTTTATCAATCATCTCAGCTACAAAGAATTAAGGTTTGAATTTAAGTATTTAAATACAGATGAACAGAATATCAAGTAGTCTTGTAAATCATAGAATCAAAGAATCATTCTGGTTGGAAAAGACAACTTTAAGATCATCAAGTCCAACCATTAACCCAGCACTGCCAAATCCACCACTAACCCATGTCCCTCACACCACATCTACACGGCTTGGAGACCCCTCCAGAGATGGGGACTCCACCACTGCCCTGGGCAGGGCCCTGACAACCCTTTCAGGGAAGACACTGTTCCTCATGTCCAACCTAAACCTCCCCTGATGCAACTTGAGGCTATTTACTCTTGTTCTATTACTTGTTACTTGGGAGAAGAGACTGAGCGTCACCTCACAACCTCTTTTCAGGAAGCTGTTGAGAGTGAGGTCTCCCCTGAGCCTCCTTTTCTCCAGGCTCAACAACACGTGGTCCCTCAGCCACTCCACACAAGACTTGTTCCCTAGACTCATCATCACCTTTGTTGCCCTTTAATTCCAGCACCTCAGTGTTTCTTGTAATGAGAAGTCAAAAAAACAAGCAAACAATCAAGACTCTTCCTGCACTGCTCTTTCCTCTCCCTGACAGATAACACTATTTGTAGACAATCCAGAAGCTTGATAATTTGGCTTGAGGCAAAGTGCAACATCTGAAGAACAGTGGATAGATTGGAAACACCATGGTATGACAGCTTATTTGGACATCACACAACCATGCACTCCTTGTGTTTCAATTAGATTGCAGCATCAATTAATTATTGCCATTTTCTTCAAGTTCCTGTTTTTCCACCAAAGGGAGCTAGATTTTTTTTCCTTCATTTTTTTTTTTTTTTTTTTTTTAAACACAGAGGATATCATCTCCTTTTCTCAAGATAAGTTCACACCTCCAGCTCCAGGTAGCCCAAGTGCACATCACGTTGGCTTCACTCAGACACCAGCATCCTTTACACAACATCCTTAGGACTGAACTCTTACCCCTGTGCCACATCAAAAGCTGTCAGCTCTCTCCCACCAACACCAACTGCACACTCTGCCCTGCACTGCTTGGATGCCTTCCAAGGAATACTTGTATATTCTCTTGCTGCATGACATGTGGTGAAACATTTAACCATTGTTTCAGTTTTGACACCTTTAAACTGGAATGGTTTATAAAAATTCCATAAATCCTCAGCCCAGCCACATGAGAAGAACATAAAGAATATTTGACCATTACAAGGTTAGTTTAGTATTTCATGTTCTCATTAAAGAATCTGTTATTTCACTCCCAGTTACCTCATCTTGTTTCTCACACACCTGACAGCAGTCCCTCTTTCCAGGGACTAAGTAAGGGTCCCATGTTCAGAAGGGAATCCCAGTTGAACTGGCACAGAAAACCAGACTCAAAACGGAATTAAGAGAGACACCAGCTCATTTCTTATCATTTTGGAAACAAAACATTACACCCAGTGGGGTCAGGACCTCCATGCAGTCCTGGGAAGCCCACAGAGCAGACTTACAGGCGTTCTTGCTGGCGTTGTCCATGGCTGTCATCCTAGCACTCTGCTCGCTGGTGGTGGATTCTTTCAGGGAGTAGTACAGAATATTTGCTAGTGTAAATTCCTGGTAGTTTCTCAGCACATCAGCATCAATGTCATCATAGATACTCAGGCTTTCTGTAAAATGTGAAAGAGAGGACTTGGAGACATCCAAGACATTCTGCTTCTGGCAAAACAACATAATGCCACAAGAGGAGGCTGCTTCTCTCCTCGAGGCTTCTGCACTTCCAGAACAGAATTTTAAATAGCAGAGGGAGTAAGTATCTTATCTCTTAAATACATTATCAGTGTATTATGTTTAATCTTCCCACATAATGCTGTAGAAACATTCTGGGGTATTTTTCCCAAGTGACTCCACGCCCAGGCTGTTCAGTGCTGTAAACACTAGAACTGACCACGTTTTACAGAAGTTTGGTTCTTGTTTGAGAGACTCTCTGAATGAGCACAACCACTCTTTTTAACACTCTTGCCCCACAGCACCCTGACAGTCAGCCTTGGAGTGCCAAGATAAGACAATCCATTACACTTTTGACAGCTGCACCCTAATAAGACATTTTAATATCAAATTCCCATGTTTAGAGTACTTTTAATGGCATTTATCACTTTATAGAACTGGTGGTTTCTAGTTCACTACTTACCAGAACCAGCAACAGTTTCAAAGGAGAAAATGGGTTTTTCATCAGTCTTGTAGGAGATGACAGACCTGTATAAAGCCAACGTAACAAGGTTAGTTGAACTGAAGGTCTAAACTGGGTATTTAAAATCAAATTAGAATAGACACCTTCTGGCACTAGTTTCACAGTTTTCTGATAACCCTGATGAAGAGACCTCAGACACCATGTGGCTATAATGATGTCCTGACAAAATACAACAGCACCCAGTGTGCAAGTGAAAAGAGAATTCCAGCCACAGCTATTAAAAAAACCCCTAAACAACCACAAACAGCTCTTCATACACAACAAAATGCACTCTCTCCTCAAGCTGTGCAAGTAAAAAGAGAATTCCAGCCACAACTATTAAAAAAAAATCCCTAAACAACCACGAACAGCTCTTCACACACAACAAAATGCACTCTCTCCTCAAGAAACAAAGCACACGTGCCAATTCAATCAGTTCTCCTCTTATTTCACAGGCCACTGTGCTCTTTGAAGCTTTCCACCCAGTATTTTCCCCTGTGTAGCTTCAGTTTAATCTTACCTGAACCGATTGTAGATGACAGAGCCCTCGTCAAACTCATAGCCAGAGTTTAACAGCTCCAGAGCAATGACTGAAGCATCTCCAAAGCTCGGAGGTCTCCGTCCCACTTCCTTGAAGGTCAGCAGAAACAGGAACATCACATCTGCATTAGAACCAAGTGGGTGCTCTCATGGACAACCACGTGGCAGCAAGAGGCAAATTCTGAACACCAACCACTGTTCAGAACCAAGCATTTTACTGAATAGTCTCTTGAGATAAATTTTGCTTTCTTTTTCAGTTAAATTAGCATGGTAAGTTCAGAATAAACACCCACTTGTAGCAGTGCCAGCTTTGCAAGCTGTCAAGCTTCTATTCCAAAAACATCATAATGCTGCACAGCAGTTTCACAGCTGCCCAGATGATCAAGAGTCATCTTAGAATATCTGCTTAGCATATTTTTGTTTTGGACTATTTTTTAAGGAATTTGAATTTAGCAGTTTCATTACATGCACTTGCCTGTGAACGCCACAGAGCCTTGCAAGCAGTCTTGAAATTTCTACCACAGAAAACAACCAAAACCCCACCAAACCCTTCTCACCTCTGAAGCAGGCCTCTGATCTTGTCACCCACTCCAACCACCATCACTTCTTTCCCTGCGTTTGTGAGGTTGGTGATCTCGTTCTTCATGGTTTTAGCAATGGATGTATGGATAGCACCACACAGGCCTCGGTCAGAAGACACACCAATGAGGAGGTGCTTCTTCTTGTCCTCAGGGGCCTTTATTTCTGCTTTCTCATAGAGAGCTAAGAAAAGATAAAAACAGATAAGTTATTCAAGGGGGGCCAGGAAGCAAATAGGCCACACCAAAATACCTGTCAATAATTCTAACTAAATGTCAAAAGGGGTTCCAAATCCAGTGCAGGAGTCTCCCCTCACCCAGTGCTCCTGTCCCATAGACCCTGGCAGGCTTCAGCTCCCTCTCAGCTCTGGCGTACTTGGCTGCAGAAACCATCTTCATGGACTTGGTGATCTTCTGAATGTTCTTGATGGACTTCAAGCGCCTGGTAACTAGAAGGGTAACAGGTGAAGGTCATGGGCTGCACTGTGCACAATGAAAACCAAGCAGCAAAACGCCAGCAAGAGCCATCCACAAACATCTTTTGTATCTTGCTAAGTTCCTCAAAGAAGAAAAAAAATAAATAAGCAAACAGCCCACAAATAAACCTCCTAAAAGACCTTAGTTCTTAGAGTGAGCAGCGACGAGGGGTCTGGCTGACCCAAATGCAGCTTTGCAGCAGGCACAGGGGCTTCCCCCAGACACAACTTTTATTTAACATTTAGCTCAATGTAAGATCTATTTACTATTCTCTTTCCTCCTTCTGATTGACAAATAGATCATTTGAGGTGTACTGACATCTTTTCCCAGACATCAAAGGAGGGAAAGGGGAAGAGCCAATGCTACAATGAGACAGGATGAACTCCCTCCCCTGTTTATTGTGGCAAAACAGGATTCATAGAAATACTGGTGTAAACCAAAACCCAGACAGGTGTCCTACAGACAAGCACAACCCCAAGATGATATCCCTGGATAAGAACATAAGAGGAACAGCTTAAAGATGTGTTATCTAAGTGGAACCATTCAGTCAACCTTTTTTTCACCCAGCATTGGATAAAACCACAGGGAAATAAATGTAAGAGAAAAGAAATTAATTCATAAAGGTAGAAAAAAAGTCCAGTTTAGCGGGTAAGAAAGGATTATTTTAAAAATATTTTTGAGTAAAACCATATTGCTGAAACATCTATGTTAGTGCAAACACCATTTTAAGCAATGCCTTTTCCAAGAGAGACTCATTTAATTAAGAAGTGCTGGGGGGTCATACGGCAGCATTGTGCTAACTCACAACCTGATTAGCCCACAGAAACCAGCCAAAATTGTATTTTAACCTATGGTTTCCCTAAAAAAACTTTCCCTCTCTCCAAAGCAAATAACACCAGTACTTACTGTCTTTTAGAGTTGCCATATTCCTGACTTGGCCCCTGAAAATGAAGGCAGGAGATATTAGGAGAGTTCACTGGTTCTCCACCAACACGTGCCAAGGGCAGGGCCCTTTCACAGGGGTGGAAATTTAAGAATTGCTGTTTCTTAAAAAGCATCTGCAGCAGGGACAAGCTATGACAAACCATGCCTTGCATCCAGACCTCCCTCCCTCCTCATCTCCTGAGACACCAGATCTCAGTTAATACACCAGGCACTGCCTTAGGCAACTGCACCACATAAATGGAGGCCAGACAGCACAGCAATAGCATTTTTATTAATAATGTTTTCTAACAATTTCATAGAATCATTAAGGTTGGAAAAGACCTCTATGATCATCAACTCCAACCATCACCCAACGCTACCATGACCATTAAACCATGTCTTGAAGCACCACATCTTCATGTTTTCTTAACACTGCCAGGGTTGATGACTCAACCACTAATCTAGGCAGCCTGTTCCAATGCCTCACC